CTATTATTAGGGTGGAGGCCATCGCTATTATTAGGGTGGAGGCCATCACTATTATTAGGGTGGAGGCCATCGCTATTATTAGGGTGGAGGCTATCGCTAGTGGGCCTCGAAGGGAAGATGGATTTTTTTAATGTTTTTTTTGAATTTGGATCGGAGTGGAGAAGTGGAGTGGATAGGAGTTGACGGGGTTAGATGAAAGGAGATCGATGGAGAGTGTGGGTGTTGCGAGCCCAGGAGAGTTTGATCGAGTGGCGGCGGAAGTGGGACAGTACCATCTCACCTTTGCTTTTGCGCATTTCCATTGGGTTGGAGGACTTTGAGCACCTCCGGGCCGACTTGGAGCCATTCAGATGAAGATCCATAGTCACAGACTTATAGACCGAAAATAGTGGTCACTTTGGGAGAAAAAGTCAACTAAACACCGGCTTCCCTCCGGATCATTGCAGATGACAAGCCTTCATTGTTTGTTGCCTAACTTGTGGGCGCCAGTGATCCCACCCCGACCCAGACAAGTTGGACAAGAATCAACCCAAAGATCGCAGCTGGCTCATATACACATATATATATACATACATATGTGTGAGTGTACACACACGTATATATATATATATATACAAGAATTTATTTACAACTCTAGGGGCCTGCCTGGGCTGACATCAATGGCCTTCAGCAACATCTGAGGCGAGGAGTTCTGAGGGTGAGTGGGAAGGAGTAAACGGCCAGCACGCCCGGCACGCCATCAGTGGTAAAAGCCGAGCGCTTCTGCACGTGCTGCGCACCCCCCGCGTAACCGTTCATGGCGTGTTCCAATTCTGCTACCGAGGCATGGCACGGTAGCTGATCGCTCAAACCGCTCAGGTCCGAAAAAGACCAACTGGCGCAGAGCTCCCATGGCGGCCGGCCAGGAATTTCTGAGTAGATGCTCAAGGAAGAGAAGTTCCCAGGGCCCATATTGGGTCGCGCACTGGGTGCTCCAAATGTTCTATGTTGGTTTGTTATCAGGGGGAGTATGTGACTCTCCTTTTGGAGAAGAGCCAGGGCAAAAGGGCGTGATGTAGCCGCTTTGCAAGATTGTACTTCGAAGGCGAAGATCTATTGCAGCGATTTCACTGAGTGCCCTCAACAAGACGAAGAGAGAGGTAACCGAGTTAGACACATTTTGCAAGTGGACCCTCTGTTTTTCGTTGGGTCCATTTGCTTCGATATCTATCCTTCAGTGCGAACGAAGCACAGGACATGAGTGTTCACTGAAGGTTCTTGGCCATTTGTGGCTCAAGGGCACCTCCAAGCGGGGGGGGGATGTGGCAGTCACAGTGACCCTGCAGAGGCGGGCACGAACTATTGACAGGGATAGCTCCGTTCGTAGCTTCTTGTTCCTAGTAGTAAGGCCAGGAGCTACTAGTAGCGTCTTGCTCCTAGTAGCGATGCCCTTTGCTCCGTTCGTAGCGTTTTGTTTCCTTTAGAGCTAAACTGGTGCACTATCATTCATTTGGCACGGTCTCATGCTTGGCGTGGCAAAGAGGCCCTCTGAACCGCGCAGATCGGTCAGTGGAGAGGGCGAGGCAGGACTTCCATTTTGATCTAAACTGCTGGAAGATTTGAGTCGTTGGATGTTAGCACGATCTTTGGATGTTAGAGTCATGAAGCTTGACGCCCCAAGGTGCATTTTGAATGTGCTCGCTACCCAGCTGCGCAGATTCTGAGGGAGGGAGCGCTGTCACCGGTGCGCTTTGAGGTAGACACTTTCACAAGGTGTGCTTTCGGCACAATGGTGAGGGGCCCTAGAGATGTACTGTATGTGATAGTAGCTCCTGGCCTTACTACTAGGAACAAGAAGCTACTAGTAACTAGTAGCAAAGGGCATCGCTACTAGGAGCAAGGACGCTACTACTGTAGTAACAACTTGAGACTGAGCGATTAAACCCTTCAGTGACTGTATTTGAAGGAAAAAGCCACACGAGGTTCACCCTCGGTTCACCGAGGTTCACGGTCAACTTCCGCAGGCTCAGTTCATACCTTTGGCGGTTTTTTCCGTTCTCGGTGAATCATGTGCACCCTAAGCTACTGGCACGTCCAACAGCTGCAAGAAGTGTAGAACAAAGTGTTCTCGGTCCCGGTGAAATGTTTTTTCATTATTTTTTCGACTCGGGCGGGAGAGAAGATCTGCCAGGGATGTGGCCTGGTGAATGCGAAGTTAGACGAGTTCTTCTGGGAATGGCTGCGGGCTGAAAACGGAGAGCAGAGCCACGTTACGTGCCAGAGTGGATGACTGCAAGTGGGGCGGAAACCTGAAGGGGGGCGATTGATAGAAAGACTATGAAAGACTAGCTCAAAGGCTAGCTGCTAGCTAAGTGAAATGCAGCTTTTTTGCAATCACGTTGCTTCAGGCTGATGCAACCAGAATCGGTGCAACTGATTCGGCAGATCATCCACAATGCTGAAGATCCTACCGCAGAGGCAAGGCGGTAGCATTCCAATGGTCAATAGGCTAAGAAGGGCTAGTGCAAGGTTGCAAGGAGGCAGGGTCGCAGCTTTATTGTTTTGATTTGAAGGCGAGTGACACAACTTGACGATATTTCCTTTGTCATGCCAGACTGTTGAAGGAACCCCCCAACCCAAACTCGCCGTTGCTTCAGTCATTGCTCAAGCAGCGGTGATTCTCTGGCACCTTTCGGAAAACCATGAAAGTGTGCCTTTTCCTTCTTTTGGCCTGGTGCCTGCCGAGCTCTTTGCGGGGGCCTCAGCCAGTCAAGTGGCTGGACCACAATGCGTGATCTTCAACGCATTTGTTGTCTTGCCATCTTCTGTGCTCTCTTTGTGCTTGTGAGAGACTGCCATTTGAGGCTGGCGGGGGAGGAGCTTTCTGTCTTCGACTGCGATGACAGCGAGGACAAGTGCCAGCTCTCGCTCTTGCAGCGAAAGGCTCAGAAAGAAGAGCTGGAGATGGAAGCGCAGATGGACGTGGCTGACTCGGACTCAGAGTCAGAGTCAAAGAATGGCCTCTTCGATGACTCTGCACAAGTGCCTATGGTCGCATACCCGAAGAACTATTGCCAGCATTGTGGAGAGATGGCCTTCTGCCATCGTGCCAGCAATCCCGGTTGTGGGGGACATGCTATGGGAGGGGTGGTGTCCTTCAACAACCACGTCCATGCGAATGGCTGCAGATCTCCGCCCAGCTTGACGGTGCCACGCTCATATATGCGTCACTTGTCGAGCGAGATAGACGGTGGAGGATTGAGACCAGATTTCTTTGGTGGACGATCTTCGACCTGCTGGAACCCCCCCGCACAGTATCCTACCATCGCGTCGCATGTGTTCTTTGGGGCATGCATTTGTCCATCTGCACCGGCCCCATGAAGACACTGGTCAGTACTTAGGTGAAGGTGTCACAGAATCCAAAGGCTTTGCCAGAAACTCCAGGTATCCTGAAAAGGTAGATAAGAAACATTCGAGCTATCCTTACCATCATACTTTGTATTGACCTATTTGGTTGGTGCTCCCCCCATGTCACCATCTATCACCTATCAGGTGATATCAGCTCGCTCTACCACTATGCTGGGGGTCGGACTGTGCTGCGCGAAATGCTCATCAGTGGCTTCGAGCATCAAAAGAGAAACGGCAACCAGGGCTCCGTGTGGCAGTGCATCCATGCACCCAAACACGTGAGTGTGCGGTGGCTGCACCTGCACACCTTCTGTTTCTCGGTTTGCGGATTCTTTTGCGGTTTCTGTTTGTATAGACGTGTTGGTCTAGAGACGTGACATGCATGGAGTTCTTGTGAACAAGCCTTCTGTGATACAAATTGGGCCAAAATGCTGAAGGAACTTGAAACCTTTCTCCAGTCCATCCGTCCGTCGCTGGAAAACCGGGTCTGTCGCGCCAAGGCAAAGAGGGGAAGGTCGATAATCTGCCAAGACGAGAAGATTACTGTGCAGTGATGAGCAACACCATGGACGCAGACCGGATTGCATCTTCCTGGGTGCGATAGCGAGTCAACAGGTAGGCATGCCTTCCTGTATTTTGGGGACCCTTCCGATCTGCAAAAGACAAGATCACTCACTCGAGGACGTGAAAAAAACATTGAAAACCGGGAGCGGCGCTGATTTTTGGTTCTTTCTTTCTTCGCAGTTTTGGGCACTTGGTGCGGGCAGCCTGCTGCCCGAACACTTCCCAGGTGCCGGCTGTGAGCGCGAGCCCGCACCAGTTGCACTTACGTGGAACTCCCAGTGGAGGAAGGCGCGTTTCTGTGCCACGTGTGGCGAAATGATCGTATTACCATATTTCTGAAGAGACAGAGAGAGAGAGAGAGACCAAGTGTTTGAATCTTGTGCACACACCGATGTTTGGGTCGCGATCTTTGGCCAGGCCTTCGCCGCCTGGGTCGCCTCACCGAACGAACGTGGGCTTCAGCCGAGAAGGCCAGAGCTTTGTTCCAAGGGGCTTCAGGTCATTCAAAGGTGGGGAGGTTGTGCATTGGGTGTGGGAGGGCGTGACTGGATGCGGATGTGTGCAAGGTATGTTACTCACTAGATCAGAACAACATAACACAAGAGTACTGGTGACTGGTGATAGAATGCGTAACAGTTGAATGGGCAAACAGCCCGAAAGATCAAAGGGTGTCCTTCATCAAGAGCCACAGCCGCCTCAAAGGTGACTTTATGGCAGCAAAGGAACGCTAGGGGTTTTGCGCTCGTACACAGCGCCGCCTAGTTCATCCTCCCACACGCCCAAGAATCAGTGGTAAAAGGAACTACTGTATATACTATTTTCATCGCTGAGCCCCACCTGCCAGATGTGGAGCAAATCGCTTTGCCTGGATCTCCGCCAGACACCCAGCGTCCAGGTTCTCCATTGACTTGAGCATGACATCACTGCATAACAGTTGGTGCAAGGAGCCCACACCTAAGGGAACTGGCACCTTCGAAAGGCATATCTTGATAGTGCCAGGCCCTCTAGCTCCCCCCACTCACCGCAGACTCTTCAGTTCCCGCCAGAGCCGACTTCAGATCCAACAGCTTTAACTTGAACAACTCCAGTTGCTGTGCTTTCGCCGAGGCATAGCCCTCCGACTGGCCCGGTGGGGGCCTTTTCGGTGTGGACATAAGACCCAGCATGGCCGTGCCCCTTTGATTGTCAGATCGTTGGAGGGGCTATGGCCATCCCCGTCGTTTTCAAGTCAGAACCAGGGGGGAGCTCCTTCAAAATCAGGGTGGGGATGTGCTACCAGGCCCTTCTGCTGAAGACCTTGCGCCAGTGTGTGGTGTCATCAAAAGACCAAGGCACCAACACCTCCACCGCCCAAGGCGCTGGATTAGGGTTTGACTTGGGTTCCCAGTGATTTCCTGCGCGTGCGCTGCGACACTTCCCTCACAATCCACCCATTGGTTTGAATTACAATGAAATGTCAGTGATCAATATTCGAGATCGGGTTGCATGATCCAAGTCATTGCAATCTCTGAATCAATCACAATCCAAGTCATTGCTGAACCTTTTCTCGCAATATGACTTTTAGCGGCCTTCGCGTGATTCATCTTGGTATTTAGCAGATGGACGTTCCAGCGAACGGAAGTTCCAACGAACAGACATCAACAAATGCTTGGTGTTCGGGTGGGGCCTTAAGCAGTGGGTGCCCACAATATGATCTGTTTTGCAGATGCCCTTCAATCAGTCGATCTGCCCCTGAGAGCAGGAGCTGGACATGCCGTCTCCTCC